GCCAGAATAAAAAATCGCGCTCAGAACTTTGGAGCCATAGGTGTGTTATGAGAGTGACGATCAAATCTCACTATTCGATTGGAGCAGCTTAAGCTCTAGTAGCTTTGCACAAAATTCATAAAAACATTAAACAAATGTATGTGTCAGGGAGAGGTGGCTGTAGTAAATCGACCAACCACTCAGGAAGTTCATATTAACAACATAGCAGAAACATTATTATTTGTCAGCTTGCTTATTACGTTTTATAATTTCCATCGTTATTATTAGCAATATTTATTACGTGTGTGTGCACCGAAACCGAAAATTCTTAATTCATTTCTTGTAAGCTAACGCCTTTAAGTAAAAAGGATATTCCTCTCTTGAGTATTCTAAAATCCCAATCTGGACACATCTTTATAATCTGACTGTATCAATATTTTGTATCTGACAGGAATGTTACATATTCTTCCCAAAAGCGATTCATTTTCGATGTTATCACACTACCTACAAAATGTTAGACAATATCAAAAGTTTCACTATAACTGTATAATGGACTGTGGTTCTCACGTGACATACTGATGTAGCACAAACTATGTCTAATGTATTAAAATGCTCAGATCATTCTAGCCCTAATAAAATATTCTTACTAAACTGTTGTGTAGATTACAAAATAATTCAAAAAAATGGGTGATTGACATTTATCACAAACTTAGATCTCTAAAAATCTCTTGAAAATAACTAGTTACTTGACAAAGACTCTTTAGTGTTAGCATCTCGTTATCGAAATATTTACAACTTTATATGGGTTGTGGATGTCACATGATTTGCTGATTTGTATATTTACAATCATTTTAATCTAATGTACTTAACCCTTTGTATTGTGCATGCTATATTCTGGTACATTAACCAACTTCAATACTAAATACACTTTTTATCACCTTAGACAAAACGAGCTAAACATAGTGACTTTGTTAAAAATAAGTATTGGATTATTTCTTTTTACTAATAATGAAGTTTAATGGAATACAGAAAATATTAGTTTAAACATAAATCCATATCGAGTGCTGGAGTGTTATCGTGAATTTATTGGATTGACAATATATATATATATATGTGTGTGTGTACTTAGAAATATTGTTTTCTTTATTTTTTGTTGAGCACAAGGCAACAGAATAGATTGTCAATGCGCTGCCTCTTCAGGTATCGAAACCCGATTTTTAGCATTATAAACCCTCAGACTTATCACTGAGACACCGAAGGTGTTTATAAATAGCAATTTAGTATGTTCTATCAATGTCACCTCACCCCCACTGGCACAGCGATAAGTCTGAAGGCTTATAACGCTAACACCCGAGTTTCAGTACTCGTGGTGGGCACATCACAGATAGCTACCTTCTCCCATTTATGAAATGCCGACCAGAAGAAAGGCAACCGGATGGCATTACCCACAACTTTTGAAATATTCTTCAACAACGAATAGTGGGATGGACTGTCTCTGCTGATCATTTCCTGAATCCCAGTCTTACTCGACGAACACAAAACTGATCATAAACCCAGCCCTGATCTCCCAAATGTTCATCATCCTTTTTCTCAAATTCCAATCAAACTACATCCTCCACTATTCCACATGGGAATTTGCTCCATAGATTTACTAGTTCTGGAAAAATATGACTGCCTTCTCTAGTAATTTCTGTCATTTCCAAGTCTAAAATTTGTGACCCCTTTTCCTATTACCCTTAGAAATGAATACGAAAAAATTATAAGCTTATAATACTTACCTATGATTTTGTACCATATGTTTCTATTAAGACACCAAAGATTATCCTCATGGTAGTCCTTTTTCCTAGGTGGAACGTATTAATCCCGAAATGAAATAAATATGTATGTTCTTGAATATTTCCCACTTTTCTTCAGAATTCACTTTTAACTCAGTTGGCCAATCACAGCCTCAAAATAGTAAACACTATAACCAATGAGTTTGAGAATGCATGGGACAAAATTTAAGTACAAGACACATAAAAACAAATTTGTTACTTCAGGTATTGTCAATGGCTTCCCTGAAAATGGCTATTGACCAACAAAATTACCTTAACCGGCTATGACATGTTATTGTAACTATTTTTAAAAAGGAAATGCAATCTGTTGATAGCTAACCCACACACGTGTATACACACACACACACACACACATATATATATATATATATACAGAGGTATGTATACGTTATTTTAAAACGATTTTTATTATGCAAGTCAGCAAGTCATGTGACAATCATGTCCGGTAAAAAACCGCAGTGGAACGTCATATATCAGAACTATATTTTCACACTGGTTGGCATTACCTAAGTAGTGTGATGCCACTGAAAATTGATCACTTTTGGGAAGGATATGTAATAGCTCTTTCCAGCAATAAATATTCAGACACTTAGATCAGGGATTTAGGATCTCCAAGGTTTGGATATACCTTGTATTAATAACATTAGTAAAAAAAAAGAAAAAATATGGATCAACTTGGGGTTCCAGAACCATCCAGAAAGGGACCTAGAACGAGTTATAGCCCAGTCATAGTAAGTAAAGTGCGATGTCTTATAATAGGTAAGAATTCAAAAACACAAAATTCAGTAGCACAAGCTGTCTAGCTGACCCATGCAACACTATACAACATAATCAAAAAAGATCTATGTCTTTAAAAGTGACGGGAGTCGTGTGTTCATAAACTGCTTCTATGACATATTGGTTCTAAGTTGCATATCTGAAATAGCTGGAGAACGAAACAAGCATGCATGCTATTCAATACAAAGATATACTAGTCAAGTTGTCAGATACAACACCTATGGATTTCTGTATGGTTGGGCTGTTGAAACAGGTACTGGGAAACCATAATCCTCGTCCGCCAGATAGCTTATGAAAACCATGCATGGAGGATGGTTGCTTTAGACATAACACCCTTACAACAAAGACTTTTCCAATAAAAATTACATTGCAGGGTTGTTGTAAAGATATATGGTCATCAGATAGAGTATGACTGGACGTGGCAATATGGACTGCAATGACGTCTTAAGGCTCAAAATCATTTTAATTTTTAATCTTTGTATAACTGAAAGATAAGTCGTTGTGCATATTTTTGATGTACAATACGATGTATTTAATTCAAATATATTTTTTTATTTGTCACACATTGACTCACCATGTATTAATAACATATATGAGCATGTGTGGGGAAATGCAGTAAACAAATACTTTACCAGAGTATTAAGATATCTAAAAGTGATACTGTTGTTTCCCTTCACACAAAATGTTCAGTGGTCTGTAAATGAAATATTGTTAATAAGCTGTCCTTATATTCAACGAAGTGAAAGCTGCTGATATGGCTCGCGTAATACTGGAAAAAAATTACATATATTTGTTGGAGTTGCATTTTTTTAAATGTGGTAACATTGAATTAATGACAAGCTTGAGATATTTTATGAAATTATTATTTAAAGATCATGCCAGATTAAAGGAAGACACAATGTATAAATGACTTATTTAAATTTGTTTTTAAATATTCTTACGTTAATTAATATTCATTGATTATTTTGGTGGTCTTAATGTGGGCTGTTGAAAAATGTAGCATGAGGCACATATAAGTAGTCTCCCGGTGGGACAGTGATAAGTCTATGGAATTACAACACTAAAATGCGGGGTTCGATTCCCTGCAGTGGACATAGAAGATAGCCCAATGTGGTTTTGCTCTAAAACAAACAAACAAAGCACATACGTAAATTGTGTATGAAATAATTTAGCTTTTGTCAAGTTATAACAAGCTTCTTAAAAAGGTAAGTTGGAAACCAAATCTTGCATTAATTAATCTCCCAGGATCAACAAATAGTATTTAGTGCTTCTAAAGCTACTAACCAAGTATCAGTTACCAGATAGCACACTAGCAGTTACATCCCTCCTCTCAGTTGTAACTAAAGCATTTTCACGTCAATGATAGAAGATTTTTCACATACATGTGAAACCATAACTGTCAGCCCGCAAGAGTTTTACACCCTTTTCCTCTACTAGAACCATAGTACTGTCATGACAACCAGGTGATAGTAGGAGATTTCCATATGCATGTGGAACATTAACAATGGACCTGACAATAAAGCATTTCTCTGAATAAGTCTCAACTGAACTGAATTGATCAGATCACAAATAATCAGTAATCATTACCTTTAGCATAGGAGGATATGTAAATAATATGTTTTATTGCTTTATATCATATCTAAGAAAGATTTGTTTGCAACCACCCAAGTTGCGACATTTAGCCTAATATTGCTGACTGAAATTTTAGCCCATCAGATATTGTGTTGGTTTGGGTCATTTGAGAAGCTTCTATATTATCTTAGCCTGAAAATGTCACCTTTGCTTACATGGACTGCAGTTGACGAGGCCATGGAAAGAGAGCTCCGAAGCTAAATATACCACTGTTGTCAGCAAGCACAACTACCACCATAGAGGGCAAACAAACAACAACAAAATAATTGCAGCCATGGCTTCAGAGAAGCAGAAAGTAACTGATTCCATTACAGATTTAGCTTCCATAACCAAAGAAACAACTGTAGCAGAGTTGGCTACCAGCACGATGCTACAAAAGTGATGTCTATCAATGTTACATTCAAGTTATCAAAATCCTCAAAGCTTCTTTTTTCTATTTTGTAATGGAGTCAGTTTATTTACTTTACTTCACAAAAATTTTAACTTCCAGTTGTATCGTTTTCACCACAGATTAATTCAAAGATATTAGGTAGCTGTTTACCCAAGTCACAAAAACCACCGAATGATGACTACTTTTGACACGCTGTATATATATATATATATATATATACACTCTTTATGTGATATTTTAAATTAAAGCGGAAAATAATAGTATTTATTGTATTTCTAGCAAAAGATTATTAAACTTTGAGACAAAAAAGATTTGCTGCAAGAAATATTGTGCTGTTTCACTTTTATTTTGACATGCATATTTATTTGATTTTGATAAATCGCCACCTTGTGGTGAACCGTGATGTTGCGATGACGTATTTTGGGATGGAATGTTTTCGTTCAAGGACTTTTTTGTTAAGAATGTGTTAATGAAGGTTGTATAAGTAAATCTTAAAAGTATGGACTACAAAATTGAAATTTTTACTGCTGCAAGAGATGGCAAACTTCAGAGGTTAAAGGTAAGATTGAAAGTGAAAAAAATATCTAAAGATAGTGTAAGCTAGGCTTAACGTATGAGTAGAACTAGAGTAGAAGCTAAACTTCCTGATTATACTGAAGTCTCGAATTTTGTCATTGCGTCACTTGTTTTTCATGAGTTTTAACCTCGTAATGTTGAGACAACAAATGAACTACCTTAACCCAACAGTTTAGTTTACTTTTTAAGTGTTATTCTAATATTACACCTAGAGTTTTGGCTATAGTGATACTATTAATCATAGAACGTGGAATAACTATTACTTTTAGTATTAACACTAAACATGTACTAATGATGTAGATGATGAAGGCTTTATTATTTATAAGTTTACTGTAAAATGTATTTATTATTATTACTATTAGTTTATAGTTGTATTATTAATCATACTATTTGTGTTGGTATCGATGAAATATAAAACTAAAACTAAAATAGACGTTATTTTGTCATGTACATGTAATAAAACTAATAATGTGTCTTGGCATTGTTAATGTTATGAAGACGTGTGTATTTTTAGGCTGGTTTTAACTTAAGAATAATTATACATGAAATAAATGCAACTTTGGTATTATAAAAGTACTTTTTGTTAAAACATTTCCTTTGAGTTTAGACTTATGTAAAAACTTTGTGTTATTTGTACATTGTTGAAAGAGAATCTAAGTAATAAAAACAACAGAAAAAAGACAAAGAAAATTACACAAACAGGTAAAAAAAGAGTCAAACTATTTTGGAATACAGTATCAATAGCAGCTAAGCCAAGCCTATGCCATGTAAACTGAGTTAATAATTAAGCTGTTATTAATACAGTTTTCTAATCAATGGCTTCCCATTATTGTCCAACACTTGCTGTTAAACCTACTGTTTTGTTTATCCTTTTTTATAATTTGTTTGCTTTGTACATCTATATATATATTCCAACATCATTTCCAATCATTGGCTAAATATAGAACTTTTTTACCTGTTTGTGTAATTTTCTTTGTCTTTTTTACTGTTGTATTTTTTCTGATTGATTTTTTTCCATTGTCTTTATTACTGCCACAGGTTGAAAGAATATAATAATGGAAACCTTCAAAACAACACAAGAAGTGTTAGGTACTTCATAACTATCCAGTAATTAAATGGATAATCTACTAATCTTTTAAAGATGTTTTTTATTCAGTATGTGTATGTTGTGAGCTTACTAATTTCATAATTCTTTTGCAGTATGTGAGTGTTAAGATTTGTATTCAACCTCAATGTTTTTCACTGAATATTTAAATGTAATGAAAATATTTATAAAATTGAATGTAGTCAATGTAATACTTTATAAAATGGGATGTGCTTAACAATATACACTGATATAGCAACAATACATAGCTAGAGCATACCTCAAGCAATTCTAATGATGAGTATTCTTCATTTTATGTTTTAACCTTTTGGATGCTATAATCCAACTTGACATTTATAGCCACTTGATATGAAAAGTAGATTTACCCCACAATGTCACAAAAACATTTCCTCGTATTGTGTCAGTTGGGATACTCACACATCCTAGAATTTCTCAACTTAGTACCAAGAGTGTGTAGATCACCTAGCAAAAGTGCAACTAGTGGTAGTGAATTTTAATCCACACAAAATTTAATTATGCACTCAAAGGGTTAAGGTACACTGACTACTGTGACTACTTTAACCCTATTGCCATTGGTCAAAGGCCATGTCATATCACATTTGTTGACTTGCATTCAAAATTTTATTGAACTACTATTTTATGGATATATGTCAATAAGTTTGGAATCAAATTGTAGGTTATAATTTAAATTTCAATATGATCCCTTAGTTAATTTCTTAATTTAAAAGTAACTATTAAAATAGAAATCCTAAATATTGATTTTTGTGTATCACTTGTGATGTTGAATGCAGCATTGGTTCAAATTTGATGTTTGTGATGTCCAAATACAAAATCTATAGTTTCTTACGAATTAGAAACTCAAACTAGCGATATTGACAATATAGAATTTAAAATGAGAACCTTCTTTCTATCTTTTCTATTTGCTGAGATATTACTACGTATACTGAATCAAACACTGGCCATGCCCACCTCTTTCCAATTTTAGAAACACTTACATATACATACTTCTCTCTGTGATATGTGAATAACCAATCAAAAGCTTAGAATGTCCCCCACATAGTTCTCTGAGCTTTTACAAAGCATTTACATGCGAAGCCCTTTCTTTTCCTGATAGTTTTCAAGCGATAAGGTAAGCTCGAAATTTCATATTTGTTTAGACTAAAATACAACTTAGTTACTAAGCTTGGTAAATTATAGGGGGAATTCTATGGTATATGTATATGTAAAACCTAAAAAAATTATTTCATTTCTCATCGTCTACGTGCAAAATTTGATAAGGCTTAGCAGCAAATGAATACAAAGTTCATAATTAGAAGAGATAATTGTTTGCTATATTTCTCTATTTACTGTTCTATGTTTTTAAAAAAAGTTTAAGAACTTGTTTCTAAATAGTAATAATGTATATACATATATAATATAATGTAACTGAAATATGACTGTATTTTACAAAATTATTTTTAATTTTTTTCTTACTTACTTTACTGTTTTCTAAATTACATTGTTTGCCCATGATGTTTTTCTTGCTTTTCCCACCATGAATCCTTGTCAGGTAGTAAGATATTTTGAAGATGAATGATGCCACATCCAAGTAAAATTGCTATGTGATGAATTATTTAAAATAAGACATTACATTTCCATCCATAACAACATAGGAATATGGTGTGAATGTTGTGTCAAACTGAAGCAGATTACACACAAAATACCTCAATATTATTGAAAAACTATGCAGTGATGAATATAATTAAAAGAGCAACATGAAGGTAATTTTAGTCTGTGTCTTGTAACATATAAAGCAATCTTCTTCATTCTCACTGTTAAAATTTGTGCCTTTACATGTAAAAATGCATGTTAATGCAAACACTGAAAATGGCTGGCTAAATGGATTTTGTTAGAAGTGGTGAAGATTGATAACCCTTTCTAAGAACTTAAAAAGAAATTGGTAATTTTGTGGAAAGAAAAGGATGAATTTGAGTATTTATTTATTCTGAAGGGTAGGGATATCTTGAACGACCAAATGGTTCCTTGTTCTCTGTGTGTTATATTCTCTTGTCTAGTGTCTTGCAAATCTTGTGTACTGTTATTTGTTGATGAACATAATTAGGTATCTGATGTTAAAGAAATGGTATTGACATTTAAAATTGGACCAGTAATTTCATTCTTGCATCATTCATATACATCTGGACACTTTTTTTTTTCAAAAAAAAAATTTGTACTTGATGATGTAATTGGGTATTTGGTTATGTTTTTCTTCACCATTAAGCAAACCCTCATCATTAACAGTTGAATATGATTGGTTATCTAGTACAGACATCATTTTTGGCTTGATTGTCATTAAAGTCAGATAGTTTTTTTCTTTCCCTCCCTCTAGCTCTTTTGTTTGTTTGTTTTTGTAACATTTATGAATGGTTAGCCATTTGGCAACTACTCCAGAACTTTACCATTTCATCTTCAGTGTAAGATCTAGTACACTTTGAAGTTTGTTGTAAATTCTTGTACTCTAGGGCATGCTTAGTTTTTAGGTTATTTTGCTCTGGAGTAGTGGAAGCAGCTTTTCTTTTTCCAACAGGTGAAATTAATGTGCTACATAGTAATTTACTCCACTTTAAAATTGCCAACTACTAAAATGTTATTCAATACCAGATTCTTTTTTCCATTTTAAAATCACTCACATTAACTTTCACTACTGACTCAGACACTAAACATGTGACCCCAAAGTAATCATCAGAGTTTCCACATTATAACCTTTAACATCTCTTGTAGACAAAAAATCTGAATTCTTAATGAAGTATTTTTTACTAAAATCTGTCTGTGAAGTCAAAATGTTGACTGCTCTGAGTGCAAAGTGACTTTCATGTTTAGAATAAAAATACTTTCTTTATCTGAAAATTTTCAAAATTCATATGCATAATCTCTAACACCTCCTAAATAATATCACATGGTTTTTTTCTCAGAAAAACTATTTTAGCTGGGATTTTTCCAAACCCTAATGTGACCAACCTTGTAACCACCATAAAAAGGCCTCATCGTCTTGTTTCTTCTCAAGTGGATGGGGAAGACAGATTAATTTTTGTAGATTTCAAAGATGCATTTTAGAAAGCCAAGAAATTATAATATTACTATACTGGTGCACAAAAAACCACTGTAATTTATCTGACTTTCTAACTAAGTTATATGTGGGTTAAAGAAATCTCATTTCTATTCAGAGCAATAACTTACTCAGTAGACTTCAATATTGCCAGTCACATTCAAATTTCTCCTTCAAGCCAATTACAAATGACTGTCAGACTTACATAGTTTGAAATGTGCTCTTTCTGTTGGTTATAAACACGTACTTAAGAGAAGTAAGCATGAGAAGACAAAAGGTTTCAAAAGAATGAAGTAGTGGCATGGCCTCATCTGTTTGCAAAATATATTGATATCTCAGCAACTCAAAAAGGTAGGAGGTTCTTATGTTACATTCTAGCTTATAATTGTCTGAAATTTGAGTTTCTAATTTGATAACCATTATAGACATTGTATGGTAGGCATAATAAAATATGAGCTGAATAATAAGACAAGAAGACATGCCATATGACACAAAAAAGCATGTTTGGGATTTTTGTTAAAGTGATTAACATGTGCATAATTAGAGAGGGCACTAGTTACGATAGGGGTAGTGTCACACTCCTACTGGTGGAGGGTTGCTCCATGATCATTTGCATGTTAGTATGCAGTAATAAGTGGAAGAAACAAGGCTAGTGGCTTGCAAACATTTGTGCCAATAGAGGGCAGTACAAGTCAAGAAGGCTTTGTGTGAGAGAGGATGAGTATCTAATGGAAATACATTTTCAGTTTAGGAAAATGTTAATTTGTATGAAAGCATAAATCAAATGCTTTCACTAATGTATATGGTTTTTCCTAATGGAAAGCTAGTTTTTATGGATATTTTTCTTTCATGAAACTTTGCATTAGAATAATTTTATGAATTTTTTATCAACAACATATAATGTGAGCTTTTAAATTTTAACAGATATTATATGAAATATTTACAGGAAATTCTAGAACAAAAACCTAAAGAAGAAATTACATCTTTAGTGACAACTAGACAGAATGGAGCAACACCATTAGTCATGGCATCTCGAAATGGACATTTAGAAGTGGTGGAATACTTGCTAGAAGAATGTAAAGCTGATATTGAACAGGTATTATGCTATATTAGGTGTATGCAATAGCTGTTTTTTATTTTTTGTTGTGATGTAAAAACTACATTCCAAAGTTGGGGGTATATCCAGAACACTGCTTTAACGTTATCTAATTTGAAAAATCTTGAGTGCTGTTAGATACAGTCTGTGAGGAAATTGTGGAGGAGGACTCCTTCGGCATGAAAAAAATAAATAAAAAGAGAGAGCCACTCAGATATACTTTACTAGCATTTGACATTGTTTTACAGGCTTTCTTAATAAGACCAAAATTTAGTTTTTTCTATTGCAGTCAACATAATTGCATACAATTAAAATGTGCTTTATGATGGGTGAAAAATGTCTGGAAAGCAGCAACTATTAATGGAATTACCTATCACTTTCCAATTGTACGAATGATTTTTACTGTATGAAACCATTTTAGGAGGAAAACACAAATAAGTGGGTAAATATTTCTGCTAAAAGATTTGTAACTTTTTTTTTCCTTGCCAAAAATATAATCTTACTATCAGTAAAAACTGCAAAATTCATAGTGATGAAAAAACACAAATTAAGTTTTTTATGTTTTGAAATTGAATGAAGGAGAATTTAGTAAAGCATACAATTGAATATGTGTTCAAAATGTCCAAACCTTTTGTGTGGTTTGTTTTGTATTGCAGAAAAGAACAAAAAACTACTGGATGAGATAGTTTGAAACTTGAGGTGAACATTCTGCAAGTAAAATATTTTTATGTATTCAAAACTTTAAAGATTTCATTGTGATATATATGCTTTTAAGAAACAAAAAAATTTTTATCTTTGTAATAAATTTCACTTATTGACTTATGTCTTCAAACATTATCATAAAACTTTCCTATACGTGCGGTTTTACTGTGTTAATGGTTACTAGCACATAATAAAAATAACTTTTCCCATACCAAAATTATAAGCAAGCTGTCTTAGACATTTAATTGTTAATCAGAGAATTTCATTTAATATATGTGATAAGTCATGGGCATAGCCAGCACTAGGGATGGTTAAAAAATTATGGACCCTTTCTTCTATACAAAGAATTTAAGTCATTTACATGAAATTCAAGTGTTTATTAAAAACAGACATCAGAAGATAGTGGACCTATTACTTTTTAGAATATTGGGGTGATTGTTCAACCCCACCCTGGCTACACACCTGTAATAACTTTAAAACCCATTTTCTATTTTTTATATATTTCCATTTCTTTTTTACCTTCTTTTTTTTGTCCATTCAAGCTGTTACATAGACCAATGAGGCATAATATAAAAATTTTGAAAGAAACAGTGGCATTCATATGGGCTAGTGCAAAATGATCAAAGTCTAACTCATCACTTTCCACAAAAAACATTTCTTATCATTCTGCAACATCATAACTTAGATAATATAAACTGACAAAGAAACCTTTTTGCAAGCTTTAAAAAAAACAAAAAAAACTGGACTGTAATTGTAATGATGGTAGTTCACAAACATATTTTCATCTAGCAACATCTCACTAACTTAAGCTTTAATTTTTTATCTCTGTGTGAGCCTCTGCTGAACTCTAAGCCATGTTGACTTACACAGTTAAAGAGCCTTAAATAGTTGTAGTGTTTATAACACTAGCCTATGAATTCTCAAAGCTGATATATAGGCAGTTACACCAAGACAACCAACATTTAGAAAAAGTGATTGGCAAAATTGAAAACAAAAAACCACTTATATTGAAATTACTAAGTTCAAACAAGTGCTGTTTTGTTCAAAATTATTCCAAGATCTATAAGTAACATATTATGCTGAGAAAATATTCAGGCAATTTACATATATTAATGTTTTTGTTTGTTGCTTGCTGAAATCAACCACTTTTCAAAACTTACAACATTAAACAAGTCTTTCTGTATAAAATTAAAACTGTTTTATTGGGTAAATTTCTACTCTGAAGTATTTAACCCTCTCACCCTGGGTATTTACTGTGCATGACACAAGGTTTTAATGTCTTACATTCAAAATTTTATGAAACTACTTTTTGTTCATGTTATACCAATTAGTATAGCATAAAATTGTAGCTAATAATCCATATTTCAATATTAGTATATAAGTTCAAAAAATTCTTAATTTTATAAGGCAATATTTAAAAAATCCTGAATTTCCCCTAGTGTGACACATTTTCTCTAGGTATTTTGTCATCTGTGTTTTATCTACCCCACCCATAAACCACAAAATTAAACATAAATTACTTACTATAAAAGCATCATTGCTCAGACAAACCACAATTTTTATAGCCTTCAATTTTGTTTGTTTACAGAGCTATCAAATAGAAAATCAGACTCCTCCTGCCACACCCATCTGTCACATCCTCTCTTTCAGGATTTGTTAATAGTTCTCTCTTATGTTTAGTTGTATATTACCTATAACCAACAGAAAGTCAAAGTTTTCTTCTATCATATGAGATATTCTATTATGTTGTGTTCTGAACACAGAATAATCAATTTCACTTGTAATACAACTTTGATTCCCATGGGAATCACAATGGCCAGCCTGGATGCATTTTTAACAGCTCTTGTTGCATAGTTAGAAAAGCAGAAACATTGTGGTTGTTAGAGGAAATTGTATTTTTTGTGAATGTTATTATTCTATGTTCTTTGATGCATTATTTAATGCACTACTACCATTAGTATAAAAAAAAGTAGGGTTAAGTGACATTATGCACCCATTTTGGCACTATACTGTTAATGTTTATCATTAGATATGGGGTCTAAATTTGGCAAACCATGATTATAACATTCTATGTTAATGGCTTGTATTTTGATCCTCTAGAATATTATGAAGAAACTTAACTTAGTTCCAATATGATACATACCTCCTCTCAAACTTTTCTCTATGTTCTTCTGCCCTCTAACACATTGAAAAGAAATTTTCTCCCGGGCTGCACTTGCCTTTATACCCCTCAGTTCGAGCTGCTCATTTAGTATGCATAGCACTTGTAATATCCCTCCACTAATAGAAGCACAACGCACACTCCCAGAGCAGCTGGCTCCCTCTGTATTACATTAAACATACTTCACTTTCTCGATTGGCACACTGAGAGTCGGACGTGTTTCATGCTTGCTTTTGATTTTTCATACATTCTGTGGATTCATATTTGTTTCATACACACACACACACATTATTTTTTCTTTAAGTTAGTTTGCTTCCAGTTTTGTGAGTGCTCTTTTTCTACAATTTTTTTCTTGTGACTATTGTGAATTATGAATTCACAATTTAATGTGACTACCACTATAGCTCCTGAACTTTCTGGACACATGATTTGTCCCATTCTCCAAGCCACGGAATCAGTGCTATTATTCCTGCTATGCTGTCATTTCAGGTATCATTGGAAGAAGTTTGACCTTCCACTCCTTTCCTGCAGTTGATTACACATGTTTGCCATATTTTACTTGTTTCTTCTGTTTCGTATTATGCATCAGTGCTATTATTCAAGGAGTTGCAAACCATAGTTCGTCATAAGTTAGCTTCCTACATGGGGCCTGGTTCTTCGTCTTCTCCATATAGGTCAGTGCCCATTCATGCTGATGAGAATGTGCAGGAAGATGAGGATTTTGACGTCTTTTTTTTTTCCTGCTATGCTGTCAGTTCAGGTATCTTTGGAATAAGTTTGACCTTCCACTCCTTTCCTGCAGTTGAGTACACAGGTTTGTCATATTTTACTTGTTTCTTCTGTTTCGTATTACGCATCCCCTTCCCTTTTGTGTGAGTTCCTTACCTCTGATTACTTAGTGATTCATCCTTCCCCTGACATAGAGATTCATGTTCTGTTATTTTTGTTGCAGCTTATTTCATGGATTTGTGTGCCTCGACTCCCTTCTGTTTTGGAACACTATGCTTTGGCTTCTCCTCACTCTGCCAGTTCTTATTTGGATTCTCAGCAATTAAGTCCACTGTTATCTTTTTGTGGCTGTAATCCAATGACTTCAGTTTCTTTTTTTCACTGGCCCATTTTTTGAGGATTCCTCTCACTCTTACTAATGTTTTATGTTAAATCTCATCCATGTACCATTTGTCTGAGGCCTTTTGTCATTCTCCTGACAGTTTTTTCAGGGGAATTTGGGTCACTCTTGTGGTTGACTTTTTCGAGGCTCTCTTATTCTGCCTTTTCCCTGCTTTACTCATTTGTTGTTGGGACTTGATGCGGAGGGATATGCTGCTTGTGGGAGTTTGCCTCCCCCATCCTCCCTCTGAGAATTACAGCCTACTCCATTATTATGAGACACTGTATTTGGGGATTACCCTGATTCTTCGGAGTCCTGGGTGGATGTTGCCAGAATGCATAATTATTTGTCTTGCCTGCCCAAACGTTTATCCCACCCTACCTTTTTCTCTTCTTCTGATCCTATTGTTGTCTCCCATCCTCCCGAGTTCACACCTTGTTTTTTACCCATGTCTCATCATTCATGTTCTTATCCTCATTTTTCCTGTACCTGTCACAAACATCAGCAGCATTATCAGTGACTACTTAGGCTCCATTCTTTTGTGGACATTTGGGAGGCCTTCTCTACAGATGAGTGGGTTCTACAGGTTTTAATATAGGGTCTCTCTCTATGCCTCTCCTTTTCTTCATCAACCTTTCCTTTTCCTCCCCCAGAAGCTCTGAGAGAGCCTCTTCTCAAGGATGCTATAGAGCTCCTGGTTCCAATTCAAATGGATTTTGACTCTTGACTTTTTTTTGTCGTGTCCAAGAAAACCAGGGATTGGAGACCTGTCTTAACCATTTCGGCCTAGCTACACTTTACTGCGCATGATACAAAGTTTTATTGTCTTACATTCAACATTTTATTAAACT